GGATTCCTTGGGAATTGTTTGGGAGGATTGGGAATTGTTTGGGAGGATTGGGAATTGTTTGGGAGGGTTGGGAATTCCTTGGGAATTGTTTGGGAGGGTTGGGATTTCTTGGGAATTGTTTGGGAGGGTTGGGAATTTCTTAGGAATTGTTTGGGAGGGTTGGGAATTCCTTGGAATTGTTTTTCCCTAAAATCCATCCCAAATCCCTCCCCGGATCCTCTCCATCCCCGGAGACACGAGCCGCAAATTCCCAAAATTCCCATCCCGATGATCCCAGCTCCTCAACGCCTGAAATCCCGGGAATTTTCCACCCATTCCGAGGTGGGGGGAAAAAAGAAAATAATAACAAATAAAAAAAAAACCCCAGGATCTGGGATTTTCCCAGCCAAAATTCCCGGCGGGAGCGGACCTTGAGCTCGTACTCCTCGCGGGTGTCGATGGTGTCGCAGCGCAGGTCCTGCTTCAGGTCCACGTCGTCCTTGAATGACTGGAAAATCCATGGAATTTTACGGGAGTTGGTGGAGTTTTCTGGGATTTTACGGAGTTTTGTGGAGTTTTGTGGGATTTTGTGGGATTTTATGGAGTTTTGTGGGATTTTGTGGAGTTTTGTGGATTTCTGTGGGATTATGGAATGGTTTGGGATGGGAGGGACCTCGAAGGTCATCGAGACCTGGGGACTTTTCACCATCCCAGGTGCCAATTCCATCCCCAAATCCATGGAACCCTGGAATTCTTTGGGATGGAAGGAGCTTCAAGATCATCGAGATCTTCCACCAGCCCAGGTGGCTCCAGCCTGGCCTTGGGGACACCTGGGGACACCTGGGGACACTCCCAGGGTTGGGGACAAGCTCTGCCAGCCCCTCCCGGCCGTCCCCAGGTGTCCCCGCTGTCCCTCACCGAGTAGATGGCCTTCATGACGCGCGTGGCCGTGGAGACGCTGGCCGTGTCCTCCTCCCTGTCCGCGTGCAGCGTCAGCGGCTCCCGGTTGACCGTCTCCACCTTGATGTCCAGCTTGCGCAGCGTCACGTCCTTGCGGCCTGGCGGGGGACCGGGGGTGAGCACCGAGTGACCACTGAGTGACCACTGAGTGAGCACTGAGCACTGAGTGACCACTGAGTGACCACTGAGCACTGAGTGACCACTGAGTGATCACTGAGTGATCACTGAGTGACCACTGAGCACTGAGTGACCACTGAGTGAGCACTGAGTGACCGCGGGGTGAGCACTGAGTGACCACTGAGTGATCACTGAGTGACCACTGAGTGACCACTGAGCACTGAGTGACCACTGAGCACTGAGTGAGCACTGAGCACTGAGTGAGCACTGAGTGAGCACTGAGTGAGCACTGAGCACTGAGTGACCACTGAGTGATCACTGAGTGACCACTGAGCACTGAGTGACCACTGAGTGACCACTGAGTGACCACTGAGCACTGAGTGACCACTGAGCACTGAGTGACCACTGAGCACTGAGTGACCACTGAGTGAGCACTGAGTGACCATGGGGTGACCACTGA